AAGAACTGGAAAACACAAGAAATACCAACGGTGGAAGAATGGCAGATGAAGGTGATGGATTTTTTGGAGCTAGCCAACCTGACTGGAAGAGTCCGCGACCAGGAGGAGGAGGAGTACCAGGAAGAACGGATGAAATTTAAAGACTATTTAGTTAAATATGTTAAGTTAAATTAAGTGGAAAAGCTTGCAAATACCAGATAGGCTTAGGATTTAAATTTGTAATGTGATGAATTAATATGTTTAATGTCGAACCGGAAAGAAAGAAAGATGTTAAGTGATTAAGTTAATTTTTAAAAAATAATTTAGGATTGGGAAAACTGTTAAAATTATATACATTGAAATTCAACCAGGGAGACACGAGGAAGTCACTTAACAATGTAATTAAGTTTGAATTAATACGGTGAAGATTTATGTTTGTTTGTTTGTTTGTTTGTTTGTTTAAAAAACTTTTTGGAAAATTAGTTTTAAAAATTGGAAAAAAGAAAGAAAGACCGCCTCTTTCCCTACAGAGCTGCCTGGGAGGGTTTGCTACCCTCTGAAGTTTGTTGGAAGGCCTCAGGAGAGGACTTACCTGTGGCAGTCCCTAAGTTGGGAACTCCTTCCCCAAAGAGGTGCATCTGGCCCCTTCACTGTGCAGCTTCCCCCCCCCCCCAGTGCTGAAGACAAAGCTGGCCTTTGACACCTGAGATGTGTGTTTTCAGGGCCCGCCCTATTCCTGTGGCTGCAGTCCGTTTAATCTGTTTTTAATACTGGATTTTAGATCCCCTTTAATTAGCCCAACAAATGAACTGGCAGCCGATGCAGCTATTTGAGACTAGGGCTATATGACTTACAAAGGCAGCCCCGGTCCGGCCACTGTGTTTTGGACCAGTTGATGGTTCCCAGTTGTCTTTGAGGGCACTGAAACAAGCCAATATGAACTTTATACGTAGGTCCAGTCGCGGCGACTCTGGGGTTGCGGCCCTCATCTCGCTTTATTGGCCGAGGGAGCCGGTGTACAGCTTCCGGGTCATGTGGCCAGCATGACTAAGCCACTTCTGGTGAACCAGAGCAGCGCATGGAAACGCCGTTTACCTTCCCGCCGGAGCGGTACCTATTTATCTACTTGCACTTTGACGTGCTTTCGAACTGCTAGGTTGACAGGAGCAGGGACCAAGCAACAGGAGCTCACCCTGTCGTGGGGATTCGAACCGCCGACCTTCTGATCAGCAAATTCTAGGCTCTGTGGTTTAACCCACAGCGCCACCCGTGTCCCTCCATGTATCCAATGCTAATAATTGGATTCTTTTGCCCCATCTTTTTGTGCCTGCCAAACAGCCGTGTCATGCTTAAAATATTTTATTTTCTTGTTAATTATGCTGTTTTAAATGTGCATTTTATATTTGACTTCACTTAGCAATGCTTTCTTTTGAAATCTTTAAGATTTTGTTTTTGTTAACTTTTTTGTGTTAAATATGTTTTCATTATTTGACCTCCTTTGTAATGTTTTATTCTGAAATCTTTGAGATGGTATTTTGGTTTCCTGTCAGTTGTGTTGCTTTGACTGTGTACTTTATATTTGACTTTCTTCAGAAATGTTTGAGTCTGCATTGTTTTGTTGATGTTTAATATGCAGTAAACCGCTTTGAGATTTTCTTTAAAATATAAAGTGGTATAGAAACGAAATCATCGGGTGGCATTGCATATTTGTGGTACGACAAGGTTAAAGCTCATAAAGCTTTTAAAAATCATATTGTCAGGAAAGCATTGTACAATGTCTGGATCAGGTATAAAGACTTGCTGGAAAATAAAACTCCCAGGTGGTTATCCCCAATGGAGGCAAAGGCTGTGAAAAAACTAAATATGGAGTCAAAATGGCCAAAATACTGGGAAATTGTGGAACAGGAGGGGGATACATTGAAACTGCAGAGTTATGAGAAATTGAAAGATAAAGTGCGAGATTGGCTGCATTATTATCAAATAATGGAGGTGTTTAAGTCCGATAGGAAAAATGGTTTTCAGGTGGAGAAGTCGAAATTGGAGACAGAACTGTTAGAACCCAAAACTAAGAACTTGTCAAAAATGTACAACTTGCTGTTGGAATGGAATACACAGGATGAAACAGTTAAATCAGCTATGATCAAGTGGGCACAAGATATTGGTCATAACATTATGTTTGAAGACTGGGAACGGTTATGGACCACCGGCATAAAATTTACGGCATGTAATGCCTTAAAAGAAAATATTATGAAAATGATTTATAGGTGGTACATGACCCCAGTCAAGCTTGCAAAAATATACCACTTGTCTGATAATAAATGTTGGAAATGTAAAGAGACTGAAGGTACATTCTTTCACCTTTGGTGGACGTGCCCAAGGATTAAGGCTTTCTGGGAGAAGATTTATAATGAAATGAAAAAGGTATTTAAATATACCTTCTTAAAGAAACCAGAGGCCTTTCTCCTGGGTATGGTCGGCCAATTGGTGGCAAAGAAGGACAGGACTTTTTTATGTATGCTACAACAGCAGCAAGAATAATTACTGCAAAGTATTGGAAGACAGAAGAACTACCCACTGTGGAAGAATGGCAGATGAAAGTTATAGACTATATGGGACTGGCAGAGATGACTGGCAGAATTCGAGACCAGGGGAAAGAGACTGCGGAAGAAGATTGGAAGAAATTTAAAGACTATCTTAAGAAATATTGTAAAATTGTTGAATGTTAAGATGATGTTGATTCTGAAATTAAAGGGTTGCTAGCTGTAATTATTATGTAATATGAAAAGAAAGCTTAAAAACTTAACCAAATTAAGGGAAGGATTTGTTGAAGAGAATTAATTAGAGAATGGAATGCAGCAGGAGAGGTATGAGGAGGTCGGGAAAGTTATTTTCACGAATATAAGGGAATGAAGGTATACATGTGGTTTTTGTTTGTTTTCTGGTTTTTTGTATGTATCTTTGATTTTCGTTTTTTGTGTCTTTTTTGTGTGATTTTTATGTTTTATAAAACTTGTGAAAATGCTAATAAATATCTTATTAAAAAAAATAGAAACGAAATCGTCATCAGAAGAAGAAGAGCAAACCCATCCAAGTGACTGGGATCTGGGTTCAAATCCCCACCTGACATTGAAGCTCATTGGGTGACATTCAGCCAGCCACTGCCTAACCTACCTCCTAGGGTTGTTGTTGTGGGGATTAATTGGGGAGGGGTAGAAATATGTTGGACACATTGTACCCCTTTGGAAGAAAAAGTTGGGCTACAAATGTGATTAATTAATTGACTGATTAATTAATAAAAATGGGTGAATTAATTCATATTCACCCATTGATGTGAATAGCCTAAACTAACTTAGGGTCATTCGTTCCAACAGGTTTACTCTGAGCAGAATTCCACTACTATTGTTATTCATTTTTATTTTTTTATTAAATGTGTATACGCCCTATACTCGTAGATCTCAGGGCAGTTCACAAGATAAGATTACAATATGATATTTATTTGCAATATTAAATGTATCAGTCGCTTTCTTAGGGGCCACAGGAATCCAATGCAACTTACATTATTTAAGCAAGCAAACAAACACAGGGTGCTAACTTGAATAAAATATTGGGGGGGGGGAGGTAAGCGCCACCCCACATAATCAATCCCAACAAACACACCATATTGAATGCCAGTGGTCATCAACTTGGGGGAGGGGTGTCTCGGCCCCCTCTAATATTTTATTAAGGGGCTGAAAAGACCTCGGACCCTAGGACTTGGCTCCTATGAAATACATACATTAAAACCAGCATTTAAAAAAGCAAGTCTCTTAAAAAACACACCACAACAACTAGATTTCTTCTTCTTTCGTGTCTCATCTTACTCGGCGCACTTGCCATTTTTATTTTTATTTTTCATTTTTCAATGAAGTAGAAAAAGAAGAAAAACTAGATTAAGACAACCTGCCCACGAAAAAAAAAAAAGGTCGTAGATAATCAAGAGTCCAAGCCCCGGAAAGAATGACAGCGGTCGCCACCACCATCACCATCGCCATGGCAGCAATGCAATTTACCTCCCCAGGTAAACAGGCGTCATTAACCCACAGAGGAGATTCCCTTCCCCCGCCCATCTCTAAGGGGTGGGCACCTCCGAGGCTCGTGCCTTTCCGCCCCCCACCCTCGGCACCGCCCCAGCCGGTGGCGATCTGCGGGCCGACGCTAGATGGCACCTTCCCCTCGCCGAGTTAGCACCCCTCCGGCTGCCCGTTCCTTAGAGCCGCCCCTGCGCGCGGCGGCGCCCACTGGGTTTGTTGCGCGCCCTGGTGCCGCCGCCGCCGCCGCCGCCGCCGCCACTTCCCTGCCCGCTCCTACGAGGATGGCTCCTCCGGCTCGCCCTCTCCGACAGCCCGGCTGACGACCCTCCACCTCCTCCTCCTTCTCCTCCGCTGCCGCTCCTTTGGGCGCGGACGCACGCGCGCAACAGGCTTTCTGGCACCGGCGGTGCCCTCGCCCGTCCGGGGCAGGCCATGCGAGGTACCCCCTCGATCCCCGGACCCAGCTGAGGCTGCTGGACGCCAGCCTCGCCCTTGATGCGCGCCCCGGGCCCCCCTGGCCTGCCTGCCGCCTCTCCGCGCGCCCCACCCAGCCGCCCGCCCGTCCAGGCTGTGCGCGCCCTCCTCCCCGCTGGAGCCGGGCCCGAGCGGGGCGGGCGAGGGGATGCACCCTCGGAGAGAGGGCAGCGGGGCCGCCCGGGCAAGGGCATCTGAAGGAAAGGCGCCCGCCTAAAGGGACGATGACGACGACGAGCGCCATGGACGCCGCCGAGCCCCACGAGGGGGCGCGCCGGCCGCTCCAGGGGCCCCCCGACCCTCGTCCTAAGGCGCCGCCGCCGCCGCCGCCCGTGATGGACGGCGAGGCCGCGGGGAGGCCCCCGGGCGGATCCAGGTCGGGCTGCCAGCCCCCCGACGGCAGGTCGGAGCCCCCCACCCGGAAAGGCTCGGCGGCGCCCAGCAAAGCGGAGATGGCGCCGGCCACCGTGGCCGAGCAGATCGTGGCCGCCGACATCGCGTCCGCGGCTGCCGCCACCGCCAGCCCCGACGGCCCCGAGGGCACCTTCGTGCAGCGGCAGCTGGGCGCCATGCTGCAGCCGGCCGTCAACAAGTTCTCGCTCCGCATGTTCGGCAGCCACAAGGCGGTGGAGATCGAGCAGCAGAGGGTCAAGTCCGTCGGGTACTGGATCATCCATCCCTACAGCGATTTCAGGTGAGCGCGCCGGAGGGGGTGGGCTTCGGGCACCCCCACCCCAGGGACCCACTTCTCAGCGGGGGTGGAGGTGGGTGCGCCCTGGAAGAAGGACCCACCAACCGGGTCGTGGGAAATCAGAGCGCGGGGCGCGGGGCGCTGTCCGAGGTGCTGAATCTCTCTCGCTTGCAAGCAGCACTCGCCCAGGCCGTCTGAAGGGCCAGACGGTGGTGGTTTGCTTTGGGCTGTCCTCGGGGCGGGGGCTTTTTGCGAGCTGCTCTTAAAATAAAGCGCTGGGCGCATTCATGGCGTCATCGGCCTCTTCCACAACATTACCCTCACCAACTTCTCTTTAGCACCCCCCCTCTGCTTGCAAGGCGAAAAGGGGGCGGGGGAAGGAGAGAGAGACATATATTCTTGAAGCAACAGGGCCAGCCCTCCTTCCCAGGGCTATTTGGCCCACGTCTCTCCGTTGTTTACTTATTCATTTATTCGTTCTATTTATATCTCCTGCCATTCAGTTTACAGTAAAACTCCCAGGACAGATTCCGAATTATCCCCACTATTAAAAAGGCGGGAGGAGCGAAGGGGGACGGACGGGGGGGAGTGAGTCATCCCTGATCCACCAGACCAGGTGCTCTCATTTCACATCCTGCCTGCAGGAAAGCAAAGGTCTTAAATTCCTCCTTGACCGGTCTGTGTGTGCCGCCTGGGCCTTGCCCATGCCATGCGTCCCAATTAACCAATCTGTGTTGGCCCTTGGTAAATGCAAATACGGACCCCAGCTCTTGCTGTGGATGTAAATTGAAGGTTAAGGGGGCTGTGAGGGGAGCCTGCAAACAGAGACTGTAGTTCTGTGGTCAGAGCATCTGCCTTGCCTGCAAAAGGTCTCTGGCAGCATCTCCAGGTAGTCCTGTCTGAAATCTTGGAGAGGCACTGCCAGTCAGTGTACACAGCACTGAGGTACATGGACCAATGGTCTGACTCAGTGTAAGGCACATTCCTATGTCCTCCTGCCTGTCTGTCATGGGTCCCTAGGCAGAGGAATCCTTCAGGCGGAAGGATCATAGCTCGGTGGTAAAACACATCCTTTAAGGATAATAATTTCATTATCTGTACCCTGCCCATCTGACTGGGTCACCCCAGCCACTCTGGGCAGCTTCCAGTACATACAAAAACATAATAAAGCATTAAACGTTGAAAACTTCCCTATACAGGGCTGCCTATAGATGTCTTCTAAAGGTTGAATAGTTACTTGACATCTGACAGGATAGTCCTTGACATCTGACAGGAGGGTGTTCCACAGGGTGGGTGCCACTACGGAGAAGGCCCTCTGCCTGGTTACCTGTAACTTTACTTCTCGCAGTGCGGAAACTGTCAGAAGATGCTCAGAGCTAGATCTCAGTGTTCAAGGTGAACAATGTGGGTGAAAGCCCTTCTTCAGGTATACAGGGCCAAGGCTGTTTGGCATACTTTGCATGTAAAAGGTCCCAAGTTAAGACAACAACAATGACTTGTACCCTGCCCATCTGACTTGGTTTCCCAGCCACTCTGGGCGGCTTCCAACAGATTATAAAGAACACATAATACACCAGACATTGAAAGTTTCCAATACGGGGCTATCTTCGGATGTCTGCAGGTCATATACTGTACCGTATTGGCCCACATATAAGCCACACCCGCAAATAAGCCACACCTTTAAAATTCAAGGGGGGGGAATAAAAAAAAGACAAAACCCAGATATAAACCGCTCCCTTAAAATTCGGTTCCATTTTACCATATGTCTGTTTCAGCGGCGGTATCGTAGAAGCCAATTTTTGTAAGGTTGTGAATTTAACTTTAACCTTTCATGGTCAGATTTTGGGGGGAAAGTGAGGCTTATATTCAGGCCAATACGGTAGTTGTTTATCTCCTTGACACCTGATGGGAGGCTGCTCCACAGAAGGCCCTCTCCCTGTTTCCCTGAAACTTCACTTCCCACAGTGAGGGAATCTCCAGAAGGCCCTCAGAGCAGGACTTCAGTGTCCAGGCTGGACAATGGGGGTGGAGATGATCCTTCAGGTATCTTAGAGAATGCCTACTAGTTAGTACTGATAGCACTGAGCTAGATAGATCAACAATCTGCCTTGTTATAAAGCATCTTCCTCTTTTTAAAGGGTTGCAGGACTGTCCTAGAAGAGCCCAGGCCAGGTGTGGAAAATTTCAGGCTCAGGAGCCAAATGCAGCCCTCCAGGCCTCTCTATGTAGCCCCTGGACCCTGTCCCTAAGCCATGCCTCTCAGCTATCCTGTCAAACACCCTCCTCAAATATTTTGGCCTGGCTGGATCGAACCTTGAAGTAGGCCAGTGTTTCTTGCTTGCATGGGTGGATGTTGGAGAAGAGAAATAAAAAGTAAGTGTGTGTGTGTGTGTGTGTGTGTGTGTGTGTGTGTGACCTCTGAGTGGCTAAACATTTGGATTGGATGGAGCAAGAACATGTGCTTACAGAAGCACAAGCTGGTTTCAGGGCATATTGGTCAATCAAAGATCAAGGCCTAGTACTCCAACACCTTGTGGGAAAATGTACCTTAAAAAAAGGTGGATCCCTTTATGCAGCCTTTATAAATTTTAAATCTGCTTTTGATTTGATATCACAAGACAGATTTTGGGGAAAACTAAGTTCCTCAAACATAGATAGACGATTACTGCTTCTCATCCGCAGTTTATATGAAAACACCTGTGTCCAGGTTAGGTGTGATCAACAGGGCCATTTATCTAAGGAAATTCAAACCATGTTGTGGTGTTGTTGTTGTTGTTGTTTAATCATTTAGTCGTGTCCGACTCTTCATGATCCCATGGACCAGAGCACGCCAGGCACTCCTGTCTTCCACTGCCTCCTGCAGTTTGGTCAAACTCATGCTGGTAGCTTCGAGAACACTGTCCAACCATCTCGTCCTCTGTCGTCCCCTTCTCCTTGTGTCCTTCATTTTTCCCAACATCAGGGTCTTTTCCAGGGAGTCTTCTCTTCTCATGAGGTGGCCAAAGTCTTGGAGCCTCAGCTTCAGGATCTGTCCTTCCAGTGAGCACTCAGGGCTGATTTCCTTAAGAATGGATAAGTTTGATCTTCTTGCAAGAGTCTCCTCCAGCACCATAATTCAAAAGCATCAATTCTTCGGCGAAACCATATTGTACAAAAGCAAATTGACACCTCCATTGCCCCACCCACTTTTGTCCCAGGCCACACCCACCTCCCACCTCCAGCCCCAATGCAGCTTCTCTGTCTGGCCCCTTGGGCTCTCTCTGTATCCCCAAGCCACACCCCTCTTCCTAGGCCACGCCTCTCAGCAGCCCTGCTTCATATACCCCTCTAGTGCTTTTGTCTGCCATGCAGTCCCACCAGAAGCTTTACTGTGAGCCAATACGGACCTTGCCAAGGAAAATGTTCACCGGTCCCAGGTTTGGCTGATGACAAAAACAAGCCACTGGCTAGGAGCACAGTGTTTATGTGGGGATGGAGGGGTGACTATTGTGAAGTGACTAACATCTTTGTAATTCACTTACATTTTGTGGCTGAGTGCCAGGCTCTTTCCTACTTACCAGAACATGCAATCTCCTTTTAACTTCTCAGAAGGTTAGAGCCAGTGGTGGCTGAGGCCCCTTTCAGCTGGTGGAGTGGAAGGCAGGGAGCTGAACAGTAGGTGGCGCCAGAGCCGGTGGCAGGCAGAGGAGCCAGCTAATTCTAGATTCTAGTTTTGTCCCACCCTCCTCCTCTTCCCCCCTACAAGGAGCAACACGAGAGTAAGAAGGTAGAGGAAGCTGACAGGCAGAACCACCCCCATGGACCTAGGACTAGGACCACGGCCTAGGACCCTCATACCTATGGGACCGCGGAGGACCTCAAGGTCCATAAATAGCAACACCCTAGAGGTCCCGGGCCCTAAGGAAGTCAGATTAGCCTCAACCAGAGCCAGGGCCTTTTCAACACTGGCTCCGGCCTGGTGGAACGCTCTGCCTCATGAGACCAGAGCCCTGCAGGATCTGATTTCTTTCCGCAGGGCCTGTAAGACAGAGTTGTTCTGCCTGGCCTTTGGCTTGGAGTCAATTTGATTCCCTCCCCCTCTTTCCTTTTTCCTTCCTCCTTCTGTGTTGGAACTCCTATTTGGGGACTTCCCTGGCTTTTTTTCTGGCCCATGTAGGACCAGTCTGGATAGTTAGCCTTGGTGAAGATTTGACGTTTTCATCCCCAAAAAGTTTTCGATTTGAGTTTCTGCTGAAATGAGGCTGCATTTTAATGTGGCATTTTAATCTTGTTTTTCAGTTGTATTTTAATCAATTGTTTTTATACCTGGTGTTAGCCGCCCTGAGCCTGCTCTTGGCTGGGGAGGGTGGGGTATAAATAAATTATTATTATTATTATTATTATTATTATTATTATTATTATTATTGACTGGATGTAGGTAAGGAGGCCACAGGTGGGGCACTGGCTGAGGGCAAACTGAGCTTGGTGGGGCAGTGCCCCATTTGCCCTCATGGACCAGCCTCCCTTTTCTGGACAGGGACCGGGTTCAAATGCCTGCTTAACTTGTGAAGCCCATTGGGTGGCCTCAGGCCAATCACAATATCTCAATTTGGCCTACCTCACAGGGTTACTCTGAAGGTGAAACGGGGTGTGTGTGTGTGTCCTGCTGGCTGCTATGAGCTCATAGAGCAGAGTTTCCCAAACCTGCGTCTCCAGCTGTTTTTTTGGACTACAGTTCCCATCATCCCTGATGACTGGTCTTGCTAGCCAGGGCTGATGGGAGTTGTAGTCCAAAATCAGCTGGAGATGCAAGTTTGGGAAACCCTGTCTTAGAGGAAGGTTGTAAAGAGTTTTTAAAAAATTAAACTTTGCATGTGCCGTATTTTTCGCTCTGTAAGACGCACCAGACCATAAGACACACCTAGTTTTTGGAGAAGGAAAACAAGAAAAAAAATATTCTGGATCTCAGAAGCCAGAACAACAAGAGTGATCGCTGCGCAGTGAAAGCAGCAATCCCTCTTGCT